GGTAGGTGGGTGGGAGTTTGGTCGTGACAAACTGTTGTTTCTATATATTTCCCTACTCTATTCATGGTATCCACCCGTTGTTTCATCACCGTCACTAACTTTGACACAACGTGTGTTAGGGTAACTCTCTGACCGACCGCTTCCTTGGCAGTAGGTGGAATGCTACGAAACTGCCTCGCTGCTTATGAACTGCCAGCTATGCGTATCTTAGATTACTTTTCGTAGAAGGACAGTCAGAACAAAATTTCCACTTTTGCAAGACGGAATACCGTGCCCTAGTCCGTACTGCGTCTTCGGGCTGGGTACCCTCTTTCGCACCGCTTAATGGGGGGGGGCTAAATTACCGGCCGGAAAGTCAGTGATTCGAAGCCAAACTCAGAATCTCGACTGCCCCTTACTAGGCCTGGGCAAACCAATAGCACTCCAGCCCTTGGGCTTCCTTAAAGCCATATGGCGGCTTGGAGCTCGATTGGTGTTACAGCTAAAATGATTTCTATTGATCAAATGGTACTGTGATATGCTGGATTTTTGCAATGTAACCGCCTGCTGCATGCCGCGTGGGTTTTCTGTGCGTACTGTAATCGTGCCAGCTCGAACCACCATGTTGGGTTCCAGTAAACGACGTCATCCACCCAGGTCCCAGTTTCGGTTTCCAGAACGGGGGAATGGCGATTACGAACAAGGCTCCGTTGTTGGGCACTGCATGGGTTGTGATAAACGCACATGATCTCAAAAGCCTGGGGATCCCGTTAAAAAAACGAGCTCCCCACCATTTTTAATCTGAGCTCGTTAAAATTATTTAGCGGCTACGTTCGAGTTCATCTTCAAGTCATCACGTTTTTTTATTCAGTATTTAATATCGCAGGAAAGCCTTTTCGTGGGATAACGTCGGCGTTGATGTGCGATGTTCGAAGTTCCGATTTTGCGTTGTTCTGCATCAGATTCCTCGAGTTGCACCATCCGGTTGGCATCTCGGTTCCTCGTTCGGGACACTGGAAGTGAACAGAATTCCATTTGCTGGATCCTGTCTACGGAGTTCGTCTAGTACTCCGACCTGGTAGACGCTGGAAGCCATCGCCACCTGCGCTCGAATACCGAAGGTATCCGAACCCTTGAACTGTATGTTTGCTGTCTGGGAATTCATGCATCTTGAGATCTTATACAGCGAGAATCATTGTTCATCGAAGCTCTCATTTCGGTCCACTAGGTGTGTTTGTCGTTTCACGAACACGCCAAGTTGTTTGTCGTCCAGAAAGACTTTGGTGCCAGGCATACCTTATCGAAACACTTATTGTTAATGAAGCCCTATTGATTATCTTTTGTCCCCGCACCCAGAGACCCAGTAGGATCCTGAGTGCTATCAAGAGTGTTATTTCGCAGCCCATTCTGTTGACCAAACTCTTCTTTCTACCATCATGACCCCAGCGACCATCTGATCATCAATACCTTTTCTTCATTTTGTTGCCGCCGCTAAGGCTTTCGACTTTGTTAGTTTTACCGAGTGCTCCCACACATCCGCGTTCTAGGAGTGAGTCATCTAGACTTAGCACTATTCGCCTGTGCATTTCTCTGTGTTCCGCATGTTTAGCTGCTAGCCGTACCTTTCTTTCTTGTGAAGACTCCAACGCATTTTCCTTGCCTGCCACGGCCGTTCCGTCCCAACCGATCGTGATTTGTTCATACCCGGTCCCAATGAACGACTTCATCCTTCCCACTTGTTTCGATTATCAGAACGGAGGGGTAACGGTTGAAGTCAAGGCTCGGGTTTCGGATATTTTATAAGCAATAAACTCAAGGGAGTTTTACAAGAACGCGAATCAGACGTGGCTGACATTGGCGAGGTGACTGGTGATAACAACATAAACCTGTTCGGTTTATATAGGAGTGTACTGACGACTTCAAATACTGAGTGTCATTTGGGCAAAGTGATGCACAATAGGATGAGGCATTCACTATTTACATTGAATAATATAGTATTACAGTTTGAGGGGCGACATCTTCGTAAACACATGGCCACCGGTGTCCAAAGGGGGCAACCACCAATTACTTTTGCGAGTACAAACTAAATAGATCATTTGCTGAATAGAGGTCTCCTTAAAGCGAGTGAAACAGGATACGTTGGATATCAAAGCTATATTGAAGATGTCACCTTTGAAACTGATTTGATTGAATACACCACCTACACAATAAACCGTGTTGTTTGGGTTACCACAGTTGGCCGACCGTATGCGGCGGCTACTGTGATCCTGCAACATTATTATTTTATCAGTAAGACCTCATGATACCCTTTGGCAAGGCTACCGAAACAAACGCTTATGTTACTGATGCTGTTACACGTGAGAATCGACAAAAAGGTTTGTCCCATTTTTCGTATCCCCGTTTGTTCATCTTGTCGAAAAACTAAACAACATGGCTCACAGAGTTCGTCGTTTAAGTCTCGCGTCTAACTTCAGCTAGCTGAAGCAATAAATTGCATCAAATTCTCTCACTGGTCGGAAGTCTATCCCTATAAATGCCTTGTTCCGAGTTCATGTAATTTCAAAGGTGAGATAAAACATACGAAGCACCAACAGTTCAAAATTACAAACATGAAATTTGTCGAAAACCCAATGAAAACTTGCTGTTTCAGGGTTAGACGACGTCAGGTTCCTGGCGAGAAAAACGTCCCCTTGGTATTCAAACTAGGGGGATAAATAACAGTTGATTAATGTAGCACAGTAAAACACCTTGTAAATAGGATGGATGGTTTTTTGATGGACCCTTAGCACTCCAGTAAAATGGTAAAGTCGTGATTACCACGAAGGTTTAATCAGTAAACCGCATAGTTGGGTTGAGTGGCTGTCCTCCTGGGGTTCTTGGGATGCGGGAGCACTTTGGCCGCACAATGCCCTTAGCTGCAAAGCGTTTCCGAAAAAAATAAAACTTTTCATGCCAAAATGTTGCTTTTTTTCCAAATACTCAAACCAAAAGCATCCCAATATACATTCCTGCTTTTGCGGATTACCAAATTTGTGGTGTTTTGCAAATCAATGTTACATTTTCCCCATTTTCTACTCTCTTCATATAAACTTGAATTGCAATTTGTAAACACTGTACACGTATCATGACATCTTGTTTTATTGTACCAATAATTACATTAAATCGAAAATGGAAAAATATACAATTTCTTGGCGCGACTTCCCTGCCTTTTGCTGAGTCAGTGAAATTGCATCCGTTTGCTGAAGTCGTGAGATTGGATTGTTGTGTTTGTCTGAACTGCTGAACGTCACAATAACTCCTTGTGACAAGTTTCAGCTGTGATAACTGCCTACCGTGGAATTTACTTCCTAAACTCGAACTATCAGTGGAGAATATCCTTCTTACTCTGGATATATTCTTCACCGCCGAATACAATTACTGCACAACATTTCGTGTAGTGGAATTATTGGACCTCGAATTTAGTGAGTCTGTTCCGTTAAATTGTCCATTTCTTACTGCCATTTGTTATTTCTGAGCTGGTGTTTTGGTTGTATATTCTATCGAACACGCATACATAGGTCCTTGTTCACTACAAATTCAACTGCTAACTGAAGCAGTTGTACACTTGCCGCAAAAAATTCTGGTGGAATACTTTCCCAGCAGCACTGATGTCGCGATGCCCAAATGTAGCTCAGAAGTTTAGACTGGTATTCTGAACTCAGTCGCCTGTCTGTTTTAGTTCATCGAGGGCACGTCATAGCTGTCGAAAAGTTAATTACGTCGTGCGAATACTGAGCCGCAATCAGGCTTATGGTTGTGCTTAGTGGGAGATCTCCTGTTAAAGTGTTCACGGGATTTCTGATGATCCAGCAAACCAGCGAGTTGTTTGTAATTCGGGTTCAGTGGTCATAAAATGGGTCAGTGTTGATTGTGAATAGTTGATTATGCAGGTTTCCGTCTAGGTTCATTCGCCGGAGTGAGAGGTTTCGAGGAGGATGATTTGTCGGCAAAAAATAGATAAGGGTATGTATAGATTAAAGGCTTTTTTGGATAATCCCCAAAGACGGAAAATAAGTAACCTTTCGCTTTTATTCTGTTCTCTGTTTATTCATTTCCTCCATTATTTCTCCTCTTCTTCCCCATGCTGGGATGGCAACAAACGTATAATGGTCAGATTCACCGCTGAGTCGTGTAAACACAGGTCAGATTTTTTATTCGTCGGTTGTGCGACCTTTAAAATTGTGGATGGTTGTCTCCAAGGGTTCAGCACGCCTGTACCAATGTGTGCGAAAATAAGACCCCGACGAGCTCTCCGATATGCCAGGCGTTGGGAATATTCGGTGTAAGCCTCAATGCTATGTTGACCTTTCAAACCGCAAACTGAAAGGATGAGGTGCCTGATTTATTATGCGTGAAGCAGGCGCCATCAAAAGTAGTTCGGGCTAACCAGGGTCCTCTGAGTGGAGGTTCATCCTGAGTTGAAGTGTCAAGTCAAAATAACACAGGCCTACACAATTTCAATTCATATGGCTGCTACCGCATCAACTATGTACGCCACCAAGTGAGCCACCACCGTGTTCAGCAAACTGCACAGATCAAACCAGTGCTCCTTACAGGGGATCTGATGAATATAGAGGACCGGGACCAAGCTATCCGTAGGTTACAGATATTTCTGATGAACTGCAGATTGAAGCAAATCATCTGCGGAGATCGCCGGGGAGGCGTCAAATCTGCTCGAGTTTTGCATGGAGATAAAAAAACTTAAGGGAGCATACGGTCACAATCTCCTTTCCTTAAAAGGAAATTCGACGCACGTTTTTCTGAACATTAAGTTTGTATCAACAATTTGGGAGTCACCTCCGCTACGCTCCTCTCCTTCTGATTCCACGAAAGCCTCAATATGCAGCAACCAAGAGGTATCGATCGTTCAATGGAAACACAGAACAAATGACCAAGATTTAGGGCTTGCATCTAGAAATAAGAATCGAACTGCCTGACTAATCCTTTTAGGGTTTTGGCAGCGCATGGTTTTGCAGGATGTTTGTGATCTGCCATTTCGTTCTGTGTAGATCACTGCAGGGAACTGTCCGTTTGCTGAAAGGTTATTAAGCTGGTATTTATAGGACTTATCTTCGCCAATCCAGACTCTGGACGCAGACGGATGGCAGATCACAAATAATTTTAATTTCCAGATAAAATTTTCTTATGTCTTGTTTTCACACATCATTGTTACTTCAAATGCGGCAGGCCTTATGCGGTTTCAGGCTTCATTACCCGTGGCATTGGATATGGTCATGGAGAATATGTTATCCTGATTCGCCATTTTTTAGACCAACACAGTTATTTTCACCAAAGGAGGGGTAGTGTTACATATATTTTGAGTTGATATTGTGGTCCAAAAATAGGATGCAAGGAAAGGAGTATAAAAAATAATAAGATGTGTAGCCAGCTGTTCACAACAGGGGCCATTTTTGCAGAATGCATCACCACATAATGGTCACTGTGTATAATTCAGTTGACTCAATGACATAAAAACGAGTTACCTGATAATCCGCGGGCTTGTTTTCAAAACCTTTGACCCGAATAAGTGAAAACATTCGGTTGGGTTGTGTAAACCAAGATGATGTACGCGAATCTTCGCATCTAAAACACCCCACCATTGGAACTTTAGATAATTACCTTTTTAGCAGTGAGGAGCGTGAGCTTCAGTGCTGCATAAAAATCTGCTGAATTTGCTCAAAATTGTCTGCTCATTGATGAACATGAACAGTTCATCAGGCAGTACGAAAATGGCTTGCGTGTGAGTACTTTCGCTCAACACACTTATGGGTATTTAACAGGCCCTCCACTCTTACCTCATGTAGCCTCTTTGGTGAGAGCCAGAATCAGTAAAACCTGGATACATTTTCATATTTTGGAGCAGCGATATTTTGTGCAACCGCAGATTTAAATTTTCATGAAGCTACGGACTGAAACACAAGATCGAGATTTCACACAAGTCTCCTGGACCAGTTTTGCTTCATCGTTGAGCAGCCGCCGTTCACCTAAAGTGCCCAAGCGTAGAAAGTTTGTAGCACTGCTCATCGAGTTCTCAGTGCGGAGCGGTAAGCTTGCCAGTGCGAGGGTTTGCATAAAAAGGCGTAGGTTAGGCGTTGATATGTGTACTGAATTAATGAAACGTGGACA